GGGGCTAACCAATACTGTTATGCCAAGAAGGAGTGGCTGAATACCACTCCTATATATGTGTGAACTGCGTCACAAATCAAGTAGAAGTTGCTTATCACCCATATTGGGTTGGCCTCTCTGCTTCTCCTCGCCGCTTACAAATGGCGCCCAAACAGGGACACGGACTACAGGGCCCTGGGCGCTGGGGACCCGGATTACAGGGCCCCGACTAGCGGGGACCCGGGATACAGGGCCCCAATTAGCGGGGACCCGGGATACAGGGCCCCGGTCGACGGGGACCCGGATACAGGGCCCTGACTAGCGGGGACCCGGGATACAGGGCCCCGGTCGACGGGGCCCCGACTAGCGGGGACCCGGGATACAGGGCTCCGACTAGTGGGGACCCGGATACAGGGCCCTGGTCGACGGGGACCCAGATACAGGGCCCCGACTAGCGGGGACCCGGGATACAGGGCCCCGGTCGACGGGGACCCGGAATGGCGAGTGAGCGCCGCCGGCGGCAGCAGCCGGGAAGCGCGGGCAATGCTGCTGCGGTGGCGTGACGGACCCGGGTGCTTGGACTAACCAAAAGGAATCCGCCGCTGGGGCGAACCAGACTGCTGCGTCGGGAGGCCGATCCGGAGACCGAGGTTACAGGACGACCCAGAAGAAGACGATCCGGAAAAGGCTGGCCATGAAAATGGACCGAGAGGTAGCCCTGGACTTATTATAGTGCTTCTTATAAAAGGGGGGAACTGAGCCCTGAACTTTTTACAGTGCTTTTTATAAAAGCGGGGAATTGAGCCTGAGACTCTAAAGCAGCTAGCGGGTCTGGTGGCTGTAGGGAAGGCTAAGAGATTTTTTTTTCAGATCCTAATACAATATTTGAGGAGAGTGAGTGGTGAAAGTTTGGTGATGAACTATTTGACTCAGTGCTTAATGATTATAAAAAGGCAAAGAAACTTGGTAAACCACGGAGGGAAGTAATGAACTGTATAAAAAGATACAAGGCAGAAAAGAAAACTGCCGCGGTAGCAACGGAGAAACTAGGAACAGACGTCCCCGGTCGGTTGAAACCGGGGGAAGATTACAACTCGTTGCCCCCGCCAGCTCGCGGGAGCACAGGGTTTCCCACCCCCCCCTTCCTTTTCTCCCCCTCCATCAGAAGGTGCCGCGGAGGAGGTGTAACCCCCTGCTCCCCCACCACCCCAGTTCCGAAAGTAGGGACTTTGAAAAGGACAGAGAAAGTATATTAGAAAGGATACATATGATAAAAGTCGAGGAATCCGAAAGAAAGAGGGCGGTGCCTCGGCGCCGGATCGATTGCGGCGCCACTGTGAAGCACGCAGTAGAAAATAGAGATCATGCGCTAGGCGGGAGATTTAAAGGAACCGCGAGCCTCTCCAACCCACTACGCCCTAGAGTGAAAAATTTTTAACTCAGTCACGGAGGAGCCAGGTCTGCAGATGGCCACATACCGAACGAGAGACATCTGATAAGAAAGACACAGCTGCGAGCAACGGAGACCCCGAGTTCGGCCCAGGATCAGCCCCTGAATCCCCTGAATCCGAGCCAGATTTATATCCTCTGCTTCTAGACCCTGACTCTTTGTCTCCCGGGTCGGTCTGCTGAGACTTACTGGCCCTGGAGACGCTCAGTTGTAACAATGGGTAACCAAAGAGGTGAACATTACTGGGGAATTTTCTGCAATGGGCATCTCTGCATATCCTGTGTTTACTACACAGCAGGGGGCTAAAGAGTGGGAAGCTCTTGATCTCAAAATAGTTAAGGAGGCCTGACAAACAGTGACCACGTATGCGTTAAAATCCTCTTATACTCAAGCTGTATATGTTATGATTTTTTCTTGCAGTTGACAGGGGGAGCCCATACAGTTTCTCTGTGATACTCATGTACTAGAAGTTGGTAAATATAAGTATGTCCAGGTTTCTATCAACCCTTGGAGACCTTTGTAGATACTGCTGGGACAGGCTGGCCACCTGTGTCGGAATGAGTGTGCATTTTGGTCAGTATAAAAGCCCAAGCCTCATACGATGTGGGGGAGGCAGAGCCTCTGCGGGGATGCCCGCTAAGGTTGAGCCTGCCACCTCGCACTGCAATGATGCTTCTCGGAGCTGGTTTGCTGTTAGTCTCCCCAGGGTCCTTGTTCTGTGCGTGGGACTGTAGTGGGAGTAATGATGGCTTTTGCAGGGACTTAAAAAAAAAAAAAAGGGGGGGGGGGAGAGAGAGAGAGTAATGATGTTACATTTAACTTTAATGTGTCTACTTCTGAAGAACTGATAACCTGGGGGAGGGGGTATATTTGTGTCCTCCTGCCTACAGGTCCATGGTGACTGCCTGCAAAGTTTGTCAAGCCCTGCCATGAGCTGGACAGATGAATGGATAAACCTGATGCCTCAGCTACAGGAGCTGACCGTGATTATCCCAAGCAGAATGAGATGGAGGAAGAGAAAGAACAAATAACTGCAAAACATCACCTGGGGGCAACTGAAAAGTAACATCCTGAATATGTGTGCTTGTAAAATAGCTATTATTAGAGGTTGTGATTTTGTGTATAAAACCACCTGTATTTACTAGCTAGTTGCTAATAAGAAACTGCACTTTGTATTGTATAGATTTGTCACTTGTACAAGAGAGATGTTAGAGTATGGAAATTTGCAGTAGCTGCTAGAAAAAGCTAAGGCAAAAGCTAGAAAAATTTTAATACAATGGTAGTGTTATAAAGCAGGTGATGGAACAAATTAAGAGTGGGGGAGAATTCCACTGGTAAGAAATTTCTTTGGCTAGTCCTTCACTGCCATCAGCATCTTCAACATGCTGTTGCACCCTGTAATAGTTACTCTGCTAATGTAAATGTGTGTGTGCCTTGCTGTAGTAGCGACTTGTTACTGGATAAAACAAAAGGGGGAAGATGTGGAGACAGTGTTCTCACGGGAGAATGCATAATTGGTACATAAACTTTGAATAGTCCTGAAAGATACAGCAAGGCCATAAGAGGCCTGAAGAAGCTTAAGCAAGCAAGATAAGAGGCTGGAATTCACCAAGTTAATGGGAACTGTGGACTGTTGGCAAGCTTTCAAGGTTGAGTTCTCACACCTGTGTTTAACCAATTATATGTTAGTCACTAAGGGTCTTCAGGACATGTATCCAATCATAATATGCCAAATCACTGTAAGTGCTTCAGCAGGGGCCTTGGCTCAACTAAGCAGACTGGGTTGCTGAGTTGCTAAGCAGACAATTCTACATCGAAGGCAATTCCTGATTTGTTTTAATGTTGACTCTGTAAGACATGCAACACTGCAGAACCTGTTGTTGTTGGAACAGGGACATGGATGTGAAGAGTTTGATGGAATGTGTTGTATGAGTCTCTCTGATTATGCTAATTCGATGCATGCACAGCTGAGAACCCTGGCTCAGCTTACCCAGCAATAGTAAATGAGCAATATCCTAAGAACAAATAGATGGTTGTCTTCATGGGGCATTACAGGTTGAGTCAAACACTGCTGTTTAAAGTATTGCACTTATGTATCATTGTTAGGTTAATCATCGTAGCTATTAGACTTGTTTATAGTTGTGTGATAAAACAGGTGAACTGAATAACCCATAATGCCTTGCTTGCACAAAGAAAAAGGGGGGAATTGTTGCAGAATGACTCTAAGAGCAGGACCATAGAGTTCTGGAGGACTGTGCAAGCAAGGCAGGGGGTGGCCCCCACAGGTGGCCTGAGACCGGACCTGGGAGGAGAATGTGGAGGAAGCTGTGGGGGCTAACCAATACTGTTATGCCAAGAAGGAGTGGCTGAATACCACTCCTATATATGTGTGAACTGCGTCACAAATAAAGTAGAAGTTGCTTATAACCCATATTGGGTTCGCCTGTCTGCTTCTCCTCGCTGCTCACAAGGTAGTGAGGTGGACTGTGAACTGACTGAAGGAGAGAAGCCAGAGAGTTGTAGTCTATGGGGTGGAGTCTTGTTGGAGGCCTGTAACTAGTGGAGTGCTTCAAGGGTCAGTACTGGGACCAGTATTATTTAATATATTCATCAACGATTTAGATGAGGGAATTGAGTGTACTATCAGCAAGTTTGCTGATGACACTAAGCTGGGAGGAGTGGCTGACATGCCAGAAGGCTGTGCTGCCATCCAGCAAGACCTGGACAGGCTGGAGAGTTGGGCAGGGAATAACTTGATGAAATATAACAAGGGAAAGTGTAGAGTCCTGCATCTGGACAGGAACAACCCCAGGTTCCAGTATAGGTTGGGGAACGACCTGTTAGAGAGCAGTGTAGGGGAGAGGGACCTGGGGGTCCTAGTGGATGACAGGATGACCATGAGCCAACACTGTGCCCTTGTGGCCAAGAAGGCCAATGGCATCCTGGGGTATATTAGAAGGGGGGTGCTTAGTAGGTCGAGAGAGGTCCTCCTTCCGCTCTACTCTGCCCTGGTGAGACCGCATCTGGAATATTGTGTCCAGTTCTGGGCCCCTCAGTTTGGGAAGGACGGGGGCCTGCTGGAGAGAGTCCAGTGCAGGGCAACTAAGATGATTAAGGGAGTGGAGCATCTGCCTTATGAGGAAAGACTGAGGGAACTGGGTCTCTATATTTTAGAGAAGAGGAGACTGAGGGGTGACCTTATTAGTGTCTATAAATATATAAAGGGGGAGTGTCACAAGGATGGAGCCAGGCTCTACTCAGTGGCAAACAATGATAGGACAAGGGGTAATGGGTACAAAGTGGAACACAAGAGGTTCCACTTAAACTTGAGAAGAAACTTCTTCTCAGTGAGGGTGACAGAACACTGGAACAGGCTGCCCAGGGAGGATGTGGAGTCTCCTTCCCTGGAGACATTCAAAACCTGCCTGGACACATTCCTGTGTAACATTATCTAGGTGTTCCTGCTCTGGCAGGGGGATTGGACTAAATGATCTTTTGAGGTCCCTTCCAATCTCTAGCATGCTGTGTGTATGGGTACAAAAATCTGGTGGTGATCTCTTCCAATAATCTTCATCGCTTCTGGCAGCCTTTGAAGCACTTGCAGTAGATAGTGTTTATACCAGCTTAATTGGTTTGGTAACACTGCAGACATATCAATCATCCTGTCCTGCTTATCAATTAGTTTAGTTGCAGCCCATCCGGGGCACCTGGTAGTCCCAGATACTCCCCATCCCCACGTCTTGTTTTTCTATCCTGTTTTTCTTACACTTATTTTTGTACTAAGGTCATAAGGACCTAAAACTACGCCAACTATAATGGTTTATCTTATGCAAGTATTCTCAGTATGTTCTCTAGCTGCACTCTATTTTTTTTCTGTGAAACATGCACCTCAGTTATTTTCCATTGCTACTGTTACAAAGCCATCAAACTTAACATGACTTAGAACTTATTCTACTTATTTACAAAGGTTTATATTTTATTTTATGATTTTGTGCCTCCTTGTCTGAACCCCGAGTTTGGGGGGGAACCGGAAAAAAACTGCTCCCCTTTTTGCATATGCATAACAGAGTGGGATAGGAGGAATGGATAATGGGAAACCTATATCTTGACAGAGGCAAGGGTATAGACCTGAGCGTATGTATACACACAGTGCGCGTGCGCTACATGCATAACATGCTCACTCGGCTTCATTCGAACCTCACTCGACTGTTTCCGTCTCTTTGTTTTAAACTGAGTCAGAATATTGAGACGGGGAGGGGGAGGGGGGAAGGGGAAGAGAAAGAGAGTAAGAAAGTGGTTTTTTAACTTCTCTCTCTTTTTTTTTTTTTTTTTTTTGGCGGGGATAGGTAAAAAATAATAGGGGAACTGGAAGGAAAAGGGGACAGGAATCAACTCCCGGAAGATAAGAGATTCCTGCTCCTCCCCATTCTCTTACCGGCTGTTGCTCCTCTTCTGTTGCTGCCATTTGTTGACAGGTCAGTCCGCCGCCCTCGGCGTGTGGATGGGGGCGGACGACGGACACGACACCGGGTCAGGTGAGGGCAGGCTGTGCTTGAACTTTTTGTGATGCAGAAAATGAACTTTATTGTTTCGGTGGGTTCAATGGTATTTTCAAAGATAGTGGTGGTTTTTGTTTGTTTTTTTTTGGTGTGTGTGTATTTGTGTTTTTGTTGTTTTGTTTTGTTTCCCTCCCCCTTAAACCCCCTTCCTTTTTCGTGTTTAAGGATAGCTTTTGCCTACTAAGGTGAAAGGTCCTTTAAAAATACCCCACAAACCTCCCCTCCCCCTGCCCTTCCTGTTTTCACCCCTCCCTTTCCTATTCCAGCTATTAAGCTTCCTGGCTTCTGGAGTAGCGGTAACGCTTCTTTTTTTTTCTTTTTTTTCCGGGTGTCTGAGCATTGTGCCTCTGTATTCTGCCATCAGACTTGTCCTTGGATTTGCATGGAGACTTCGCATTGCTGTGGGTTCGTTTTAGGTGTGTAGTTCAGCAGGGTGATCAGGAATGTTTGTGGAGAGGTGGTGGGGTTTAGGTGAGAGTTGTCCGGGTTGTTTTTAGATTTTTTTTCCACCTCTGTTAATGGTTTTGCAGTGATTAAACCCCCACTGTTGTGGGGGAGGGGGAATCTGTCTTTAGTCAGAATGGAGTAGGCGTATTGCTTGCTAAATTACCTTATTTGATGCTGTGTATAGCTTTGGTTTTTAAGTTCTGTGAGAAGTCGGAATTGAAGTAGCACTGGTAGTTTAAAAAAAGGATGCTTGTGGCTTGCATTACCACCCTTCTCCCCGAGTAGTTATTGAATGGTGTAGTCTTCTACTACTAACTTCTGTTTCTTTTCTACAAATGCTGAATTTCTCAGTGAGTTGTAGTGATACGGAATAACGTGGAAGTCAGTCTCTTGTTGAAAAGTAATTAATTTTGCTTCAGAATATCCTATGAGGAAACTGCAGGATACTTAATACTTTAATGCTGTACTTGTATAATGCTTGGGTGCTTTCTGCTAGTTTGCATATTTTTGTCTCGGTGTTTTATACTCCATAACTCTGTGTATGCATAGTTTCAAATCTTAACCCCACCCCCGGATGTGAAATAGGGGTGACTGAGAAGCCTGGATCTAGAAATGGTGTTTAATTACTTATGTGTATTCTAGTAGGTTCCTTTAGAAGTTTTTTCCTTTGGTATTTTTCAGGAGTTCTACATTATTGTCTACCTATGTTTCATAAAATTGTGGATAAGAAGGTGAAAATAAGCTTAAAAAATCATATGCTATTTAAACACAACAGTCATTCTAATTTGAAATATGTCCATAATGTTAATTCTGGACTACATTAATATTAGACCAAAATGTTGGACTTTCCATGAAGCTGCTTCAGGAATATATTAAAAATATTTTCATGGAAGCTTTAAGCTAGGTATGGTCTGTAAAGTGGATGTGCGTTTTGAAAAACACTGCAAATGTGTTAAGATCTTGCAAGAATGTAAGTGTAGAATATTCCTGGTTGTGTTTTGTTGTGGGGTGGGTTTTTGTGTTGTTTTTTTCTTTTTTTTTTTTTTTTATGTGGGCATGTTTTTTCTTTGGTTTTGTTTTTATCCCAAAGTTAGCTTTCTTGCTTTCTGGATCAGAAGGGTTATTGTTGCTGCAACTGGTGTACATCTTGTATTAAATCTAGGTTGAAGATCCACAAGTAATTTATATTCAGTAAAACTTTATATTAAGAGACTCTAGTCCTGTCTTTGCTTCTAATTTTATAAGATATTGTTTCTGTCTTACTTGTTTGACATTTGGTTTCAGATTAATAGTTATTGGTTTTGCATTTTTTGATCATCCTGGTAATCTGGCAGCCCATACCAGTGGGGTGACTGTGATCTCTGCTTCCTCTGGTATATCTGGCTTGGTGGCTGGTTTTGGTAACATAAAAACTTGGGCCTCCATAGCCTTTTCACCAGGAATATGTATCTGAATTTTTCCTTCTTTAAATGTAATTTGTACGTGTAATTTACTCAGTATATCTATACCTAATAATAGCATGGGGCACTTGGGCATGTAAAGAAATTGATAGATTAACATCCATTTTTCAATTTTAAAGGCTGAAAGAAAGGCTTGTTTTCTTGCTGCCCTGTGGTGCCAGTAACTGAAGATAGCTTTTTGCTTAATTGCAACTTAATTTGCTTAATTTACAAGAATTTGTAACAGAATAGGTAGTTCCTGCATCTACAAGGAATTTTACCTTATTCCTCAACCTAACTGCAACCAGGGGCTCTGTTGGGGAGAGTTTTGAATCTTCCCCCAGTCCTCCTCAGTCTAAAGTAATCATTTTCATCGCCTTTCCTGACATTCCACTCAATCTTTGGTATTTATTTTGACTCTGAGGTCATTCTTTCTTTCAGTGCCCCCCCCCCCCAATTGTGCACTGATCACTCTCTAAGCAAACCCATGGAGTCTGTTTACAAATATTTCCATGTAATGCTTCTGACCTTTCCTTCCTGGGCTGTTCCCCCTTTTCCTGATTTCCTGTGTGATAGCTACAGCAAACAATTTTCTTTCCTCCTTTTCCTTCCCCTCCCCCCTTTCAATGACTTCTCTGTTATTGTACACTCTCTAGGCTGCTTCCAGTAGTTTTTTTGAGAGACCAAGAATTGGTTCCTTCCAGTTTTTGCAGCTTGTGTTTAGCATCTGGATTTGATTGTCCAATAAGGATATCACTGTGCTGCATCATCTTCTTTTTCAGGGTTCAAATCCTACTTCCTAGCTATTGCCATAAGTCTTTCAAAAAAGGCAGATGGAGATTCCCCTTTCCCCTGTACTATTTTATGTGATTTTGACTAATTCTTTGCTTTAGGAATCGCATGTTTTGTTCTAAACAAAATCAACTGTTGATACCTGGTTAATGGATTCCACTCAGACAGAACATTAGGATCCTACTTGGGGTCTGTGGAGAGAAAGTGGTTGTCCATTGACCTCTGCTGGGCCACCTGAGTATGGATCATGGATCCTTTCTGCCTCATCCCTTGCTTTTGCCAGCACTGTACTTTTCTCATCATATGCTACCAAAGTATCCATTATTACTTGTAAATCATTCCAGTCTGGATCTTGCATTCTAATAGTTATTTCCATTCACTTTAGATACTTTCTTGGGATCTTCCCTATAGGTCCTGGCTAACTTTCCAGGCTTGTAAATCTGACACAGAAAGTGGCACCTTGATAGTCACCGGTCCTTCTGCCCGTATTCCCTGTTATAAGGGAGCTTGTATGCTTAGGGGAGCATCTCTCCTTGTTAGCCTTGATGTGGGGCTAAAGCTCTTACCTCCAGCACTGTGACTTTCCTCCCCATCTGAATTTGAATATGTCCTCCATCCCTGTTCACAACCAATAATTCCACATACTCTTCTTCCTGTCTATATTTAAGACACCACTTACCAATACTACATGCAGAATGTTATCTCTTGAATGCTTTCTTATTATCCTTTTCCAATGCTAATGCCATAAGATCTTTAGGTATATGCATGCACTCCTTTTGCAAATTCACATTATTCCACAAATCAAAGAATAAATTGACATATGGTAATTCATCCCACTTTGCCTCCTTTCAACAAAACAGCATCAATTGCAAAATTGTATTATAATTAACAGTTCCATTAACAAGCTATTTCTTCTCACCTTTGAACTTTAGCCACCAATGTTCACATCAAGGGGTCACCCCCAAGCTTATTCCAGTACCTTAGGATGCAACCTAAAGGAGAATGCTCTGAAATCCCTTCCCTTCAGGATTGTGACATTTGTCCTGCACCACCCAGTATTTTATTACGGTACTGTGTGCATGGGGCATCGCTTCACCTATCATTCACACCAAGAAAAGACAGTTTTCAGCTTGTATACCTTTATTATATACATATTTATTATAATTCTGTGAAATGCCTACTCAATTCTCATCACATATTGCATATGGTAATTTAGGTAATAAGGCCTCAGCCCAGGCGCTATGAATTTTGAGGAGTGGTCTCTGGGGGTCGTGGTGTTTTTTTTGGGAGAAATACCCTCGCTTGTTTTAGCCTTTTATGGCAATCTGTCATTTCAGGACATTGTAAAGTGTGTTTAATCTTGCCAGTTAACTCCATGTTCTTGCTTGGGCAAGCTTATGACCGTAAGAGGCTCCTTTAGCTGTCTTTTCTTGCAGCTGTTTACCTATTTCTCAGGCTTTATTGACAGGAGGAAGGCCCACATTGATTTGAAAGAAGACATCTGGTCTTCTTGTTCCATGCCTTCCTTATCTTGAGGATCCTTGTAGTCTTGTCCATGACTATGTCTCTACACACAATGAAATACTTGTTTAATTTGGTATCAATAGAATAGTTACGGTTGGAAGGGACCTTAAAGATAATCTAGTTCCAGCCACTCCTTGCCACAGGCGGGGACACCCATCCAGCCTGGCCTTCAACACTTAGGGGGTGGGGTATCTATAACCCCTCTGCCTGGGGACAGGTGGTGAACCAGTGGAGAGCTTTTGGGTCAGGGTGAAAGGGAGAGCTGCAATGGGGGACATTACTGTGGAGATCTGCTACAGTCTGCATGATCAAGAGGACTCTGGATGAAGATATAGACAGATAGGAGGAGCCTCATGCTTGCAGGCCCTTATCCTCATGGACAACCACCCCGATATCTGTTGGAGGGATGGTATGGCCCAGCACAAGCAATCCAGGAGGTTCCTCAATTGTGTGGAAGACAACATCCTCTTGCAAGTAATAGAGGAGCTGACAAGGAGAGGTGCCATGCCTGACCTCAGGCTCACCAACAGGGAGGGTTTGGTGGGGAATGTGATGCTCCAAGGCAGCCTTGGCTGTAGCGATCATGATATGGTAGAGTTTGAGATCTTCAGGGGAGTGAGAAGGGCATGTAGCAAGCTCACTGCCCTGGACTTCAAGAGTGCAAACTTTGGCCTCTTCAGGAACCTGCTTAGTAAGGTTCCATGGGATAAAGCC